ACATCAGATAAAATTAAATCTCTTCAAATCTCAAAATTAAAAGAGCACAAAATTACACATTACCTAGTATATTACATGATCCAAATAAATCGATATAAAATATTCATTTTTTATAAGTTTATGAAGGCAAAATCATTTGTGCAGTGAAAGTGTTTTTTAATTAATTATGTCAGTATATGTAAACTATATAATAACTAGAGCAATGATAAGCCGCAAAAAATAAGAATAATTTTCCTATACTTATAACTTTCAACTCTCGTGATCCACATCATGCTTATCACGCTTCTCCTCCCTTTCCACCTGTATACTACAATTCCAACGATTTCTCCGTATAACTGCGTGCATTTATTCCGCTTTCATTCCCAACGAGATTTCGGTCCATCCGAATGCATTAGCGTGCAGCTTTGAGGATTCGAAGCCCAATTCCCCGTTTGCTTTCCGCGCAAAACAGACAGAAAGAAGAACGGAAACGAGAGCGAAAGAAATAGCAAGGGATGGCTTAGCCAGCCAGTACTCTTTATGCATGCACCTGCACGCATCGATGAAGGTTAACGCACAATGCAGACTCCACTTCGCCTCTAACAGGATAATGCTGTTGTACATATGTATACCCGAGCGCGATCGTTCGTTTGCTTAACGAATTTGAAATATCTTTGTGGAATTTTTTATGCGCCGCTGCTCTTTTGCAGCGTCTCGTTGGCGGGGTGGCATTTATGCGTGAATCTTGATAATTATGGCACTGGTATTATTACGCACTGAGTTGTAGTCGTGTACACCGCAAAATTTCAGTGAAATCGAAATCTATCGATTGATATAATAAGGACATGCACAGTAAACATGTATGTAGATATTGTACTTATATGTATTATATTTGTAACATACATTGCATAATTGAATTTTTGGATGAACACTATTCTTTCGAAAATTTATTGAGAAAATTTATTTAGAATAATTTAAATTGTTGAAATACCAAACGACCAATTAATATTAATATGTGAAGAAAAATATTTTTTTAGAAACCTTCTTATTATGCCTTACAATAAAAATTATTATATTACATAAAATGACAACTTCGAATTAAAAACGATAGCTAATAAAAATAAAATTAATTTTATTAGCTATCTTTATTTGGATCTAGTAACATATATTTTCACTAACTTGCAAAATTGTAATGTTCTAAATAATATTACTATCAAAACTGATTAAAGTGATTGTTATGCTATACGTACTCAAGTTACAATTCTGTTTGGAAGTTAATATCGCGTTATTGTAGACGTCAACTCTCGTAGGACATCGACGCTCGTATTAAAAGCCATAACCTGTTCGTGAATTTAATTTTCTCGATTAACGAGGAAAAGCATGAAAGCATTTCCTCGTTATAATCACGAACTCGTCGCACAGCGAACGCGTCGTCATTCAAATGAAAGACCGACTGAAATGTGAAATTTTCCGCGACAAAACAATGGTTCGAATAAATATTCGCTTATCATTTTTCCGTCTATCTGAATTCCGTGGTTTTGAAATAAACCCGAAAATCAATGGCATGATTTTAACAATTTCGAAAAGATTACAATACAATAATAACTTTTTCATAATTTATTAATTTTACAATAAATTTTCAATTTGTAAGATATATAATTATATTTACGGATAAATTTAAATTAATTTTAAAAATTTCAGATTTATATATATTTAATCGATTTTTCTTTAATAAAAGAAATTATGAAACAGAAGCGATCAAAAATACTTTCCAAGAATCAAGCTATAGAAATATTTAATAATGCAAATTAAAAATTTGTGGGAAATGATAAATGTTTCCTATAATATTTTGGTTAATAATAAGAGGAAAAATTAATTCTACAGTCAAAAATGAAATAAGTTAAAGACAGTTCTAGACTTCTATAAATATTTTATATAATTATAAAGAAAATAATTTCTCCTTTCATAAATAGAACAATAAAAGCTCTCTCATTAAGCTTGTTATAAGTAAAGTTATTTTAGAACAAATAAGACGCTATGTGTATAAATAACTGTGACATAAATAGTGTTAAAATGGACTTAAATGAAGTAATAAAATTAATGAGTAGAAAGGTTAACAAGTGGAAACTTATTTCACACACAACACGGTTAATTTACAAATTTCTTGAGCTACATAAATTTATAACTTTTCCTCTTGAAAGAAATAGCATTTTTGCCAAAACTTCACAGTGCAAAATGTGATTGCCTATGAGCATCTGCTCCATCGTAAACATTGTGAATCGATTGACCCTTCGAAGTAAAAAACGGACGGCAGGTTCGCTGGTTACGCTTCATTGGGGTCGCCACCCGGTACGTTCTGCGACCTAAGTCAAATCATTTACCCGTATATGTATGCTGCCCACGTATATACAATATACGCGTATATACGCACATATACACATACATCTTTGGCACCCACGTTACAGTCACGAGGCGTAATTCACCTCCCGCATGATGTGACATAGCGCGAAGCGTGCTGGCGGGCCCTCCTCGGTGGCCCTCTCGCACAGTCGCGGAAAAATCAATAGTGAACGTAGTATGGTGCGGCGTGGCGGCGTCACTCTTTCAGGTGGCCGCCTGCCTATGCCTGTGCTCATGCCTGTGCCTGTACGAGGAAGGAAGCCAGCCTAGCAGACGAGAGGGCAGGCGGGTGTGCAGGCGAGCGAGCGAGCAAGCGAACAAGCGAGCAAGCAACCGTCCGATCGAGCGCACCGGTGAAAACGAGTCACCTGCGAGGCATACACTCCGTCGTGGTAAGCACGCGATCGAATTCCCGCCTTCCACACCACGAGACGCGTATGTGCATGTGCGTGTGTATGTATTTGTATTTATATTATATGTATATGTATATATTTATGCACGTATATACGATGCTGCGCAACGACAGCTTTGCGCGGCATTATCATTTATCGAAGTAGCACCAGGACTGTATTCCTTCGAAATAATAAGAGTTTACCAAAATTATAATTTATAACTCGCCTAAAATTCATCTTTCACTTAAAGCTGCAGAGTTTTTATCCAATTAAATAGTTTTAGTTAAATTAGATCAATAATTCATTAGATAAATTATTTGATAAAAACTATTAGAAGTAATATTTAATTTAATTATATATATAATAAAATAATTTTCAAAATTTAATTTGCTTTCGAAAAAATTATTTTTAACTTGATAAATTTATATATTAATGAACGAAAATCTTTCAATGCTCCATCTTTTAATAAATTATAATTGATTAATATTTTTAATTGTTTTTTAATGATATGTAGATACTTGTTGACAAAGATACATAATCAATGTTACAAAATATTTTGACATGTCATTTTAATGCAATAATTTGTTATGTATGTATATGTAAAAAATCTTGCTGGACGTAAAAAATTTCAAATTTACTTTGAAAGCATTCGATAGCGTATGTTATGAAACATTAAAAGACCAAACATTTCAACGAACACAACGCGTAAAAATTTAATGTATCACATATACGCTTCTTCGTGAAACTCCGCTATTTCTACATTTGTATTTTTTCTTGAAAAGTTTTACGACATTCTTGAATATTCTTGACGTATGCCATTGCAATCAAGTGCGCAGTACATAATAATGATACAGCACAGAAACTTTGTTAAAGCGGTTTAAAAATTAAAGTTATGTATGTAAAAACAAAGTTTTCACAACTCTCACTGTAACTAACGTAATACTTCCCTACAGAATTTTCGATTTGAAATCCATACATCGTAAATTGAAGATACGATTTGTTTCTACTCTATGAACAGTTGTGTCGTACAACTGTTTCAACTTCGAACAGTTGCATCATACCAGCTGCCAGCTCTACAAAGAATACGTTAGCAATCGCGAAAAATTGCGCAAGATTATATAGTTACGGTTGATCACGAAGAACAAAGGATCCTGATGAATGCACGTTATATACCGCGCGAGCATAATGGATAGTACAATTACATATAATTGCTAACCTCGCGTGTCTCTGTTTCGTAATCGATTTTGCATTTTGCCTCTCGATATACAATTATACACATTAATCCCAATTAATTCCTAAATATCTCTATTAATTACTCATCTGAGGATATCTGTTACCTCCGCTGTAATAACATAATGAATCATTACTGAGAATATCGTAATGCAAAGTAGAGAAGTGCCACTTCTAATAATTTTCTATGCGTCAATGATCATTATTTTTCTATCGCTTGAGCGAAAACTCGACTAATCAATTCATAAATACGTCGTGGACTATGATTAAAACCGTGTTATCAAGAAGAATATTTTAACGTGTATCTGTATTCGGTTTTTGTGAATTACTGTCTACCTTAATAATGTAATTATTTATAAACGGAATGCATTTCTAGACTCTGTTTAATTATTACATTTGCTATGCCTAGCATTGGACCATTTCGAGCATGCATGATGTATCGAGCTTGCATCGAGTGCATCATTAATGAGCGGCATTCTACACGCGGCGGAGGTACGCGCGTGTCAGCAGCCTGCGCGAGTACTCCGCTACGCGCTTGCGCGCGCTATGACGCGCGAGGGTTGGAACTTGAACGAGTAAGGGAGACAAACGTGTATATACAAACGCGAGCAAGGGGGATGGAGAACCAACCAATATGGCGATAATATAGAAGTGCGAGGGAGAAAGAACGGAAGAAGGAGAAAGGGTAATGAGGGGAGAGACCAGTCTAACTTTTCGATGAAAGAAAAGAAAAGAAGGCGATATCTGATATTCAAGTATTCCCCTTAATGAAACGAACGAAAAGAAAGGGGTAGGTTTTGTAAGAAGAAAAATATATCGATAGTCTCGTGAAAAACTGACATGAAGGCAGTTCAGAGTTACGGCGAAGGGAATACGTCAGAAGGGGTGGATTCCACCCCTTCGGCCATCGTACACGGTACGAACCGGCGCTGCGTCGCGCCGCTGTCGCGGCGTCGCGGCGCCTCAAACAGCAAATCTCGTATTATACAGAACACCTACCTCGTCTTCGCCGGTGGCCACCGTGTTAACGGAGTCCATGCTCTGCGATAGCGGCGCGTCCATGATGCAGGCGAGTTTGCCGGACGGTCCGGGGTTGCCGGGGGCTGCGGTACGAGCGGGTGGCGGCGATGAATCCACCGTGTCCCGTCTCGGTCGTTTTAAAGCGGGCGGCGTTATGGTTGTACCGGCGAAGACGACGGGCGCCTCCAGGACGTATCACTGGAAAATAACCTTCCCTTCGCAAGAAACACGGGGGCCGCGGCCGCCTCCTCCTCCTCCTCCTCCTCCTCCTCCTCCTCCTCTTCCTCTCCTTCTTCTTTCTCCTCCACGCCTCCTCTCCTTCCCTGATCTGATCCTTCTCTCGCCCCTTCAACCGGTTTCTTTTCTTCTTCTTCTCTTCCTTCTGTTTTCTCTTCCTGGATTTTTCTACTTTTTTTTCTCTTCTTATTCACGTTTTCTCGCAACCCCGACCCGACTCACTCCTTCTTCCGTTTCCTGCTGCGGCTCTTCGCCAGCGCCACCACCGACCACCCTACGACGATGTCGCCGTCGTTGCACCTGTCACACGTTGCTGCTGCGAGAGGGTCGTGGCAGCGTAACGACGAGAAGTAGAGAGCGAGAGCGAGAGCGAGAGGGAGAGCGAGAGCGAGAGCGAGAGTGAGAGAGCGAGAAAGAGCGAGCGAGCGAGCGAGAGAGAGAGAGAGAGAGAGGGAGAGAACGAGCGCGCCGTATGTATGAGCGTGTACGAAGCGTGAAACACAGACGTGTATAGTCTGTTGCGCGTTTATGCGCTTGCGAACGGCATGTGTATACGTGTACGCCTGGCCTGCAGGTGTTGTTCCCACGCGTCTATTTTAGAGCAATCGATACACCAGCAGCAGCGTGCCCGCCGTGTGGAGGTGGAGCAGGGCAGCCAGCGGTGAACGCGATCGGCAACGATCCGGTGATGTATTTCCTGTAATCAGGTATGGTGTTCATCTATCGGTGAAGGGTGACCCATGCACCGGGTAAAACGAGTCTGATGACGTTCCGGCTGATGAACTCCAGCGCTGCTGCGTTGCGCGACTGCACTCTATGACGACGAAGAGGACGACGGCGACGGCGATGATGACGGCGAAAACGAGGATGCGCGAGGCGTATTGATGGTACGAGTACGACTTGCTACGTACCGGATGTTTGACACGCAGCAATACTCCGAAATGCCAGCGATGTTCGTAGATACCAGCGGCAATCGGATAAGGTTTGCAGGCGATCGGTTCGTACTTGACGTCTTCGGGCTCCTCTCTCCCTCTCTCCCTCGTGATAATTTTCTGTCTCTCGGTCACTTTATCGGTGCGCCCCGTATGATGCGCGCGTACAATCGCGGGTCGTGGCGTGTTTTATGCGCGAGCGCGGACGACGTGATGCGGCGGCGGCAACGGCGATTTTCTTCGACGAGTGCGAGACCTCCTGGTTGGACGATGAAAACGTTAATTAAAGGGATTGGGACGGTGTCGTGAAATGAAATACGCGCAACGAAGTCGGAAAACGAGAATCAACACACCACCGATCAAGTTTCAAGGCAAGTAAAGAGTGATGGTAATAATAATAAGAATTTTGTTACGTGAGCGCTGCGACACAACTGGTACGCAGGTTGCCGACAGACTGACGGAGCGTGAACCAGCGCGATGACGGTGAGACGGGCGCGCGGGGACCGCGGAGTCGCCGCGCCGTGCCGCGAGCGGCGAGGGTGAGGTGGGGGTGGCCCGCGGGCCACTGGGTCGGGGTAGGTGAGTGGGTGGATGGAAAGGTGGGAGAAGAGAGGGAGCTCTCGTTCACGATTCAGACGAGGAGGACGGAGAAGCGAGAGGCGCGTGCCTAGAGAGAGAGAGAGAGAGACCCCTCTTTCGCCGCGACTCACCGCCGGAAAAGGTGACGGGAAAACGGAGCTGCATTCGAAGGGATGACCGCCGTTACAAGGGGAAACGTATGGAGATAGGGGTGCATCGGGGTCTCTTCGCACGTGTTCTTGGATTATCTAGAGAAAGGAAGTCTCGGTAAAAATATTCCTCATCTTCAAGTTACGATGACAGCAAATAATAATAAGAAAAAATTAACAAATATAAAATTAATTCTTTTTTATAATATTTTTTTGTAAATAATAATTGTATGTAAAAAAAATCAATTTAAGAAATGGAATTAACATGCGAATAAATGGTACAATTTTAATTGAGTGCAGATAAATATATTCAGTTTTATTTAACTTCTGAAAAAATTTAATTTATGTGAATTAATATTCTTGGAATGGAAAGTAAAAAACGTATAAAAACTTGAAAAGATATAGTTTCTTTCTAATTTGATGACATTTACTTCTTTTAGTCTATTTAAGAAATATTTATTAAAAATAAATTAATCAATATAAGAACTCTTGATATTAAAATAACAATATAAATAATAGAAAGAGCATGTAAGAGTCGATTATAAAGTTCGCACAAATAACAAATTAAAAAAGTTAAGAAATAGAAAATCGACTGTAATTAAATTAAATTAAAATTAAAACAATGATCATAACATAACATATTTCGACTGCTGGTTTGAGCTATTTTCAAATGTCATAAGAGAATATATTGTGAAATATTTATTCTTAATAAAATATCGATAGTTAAATAAGAACGTGACATTATTTACAAATTATAAACCACCATATTATTTACCAGATTTATATACCAGAATATCTTGTAAATAAGTCACTTTAAATATTATGAGATTTTATTTCAAAAAAAGGAAAAGATTTCGTTTAAAAAGAGAGTAAGTTTTGTCAAAAGTTCTGTTGTAATGACGAGCGCTTTGGTTCTACGTTTACTGCGTATCGTTATTATAATAACCATAATTATTGAAGTTGCATTATTAAAATGAGTTACAACAAAGAGGTCAAGGGAGAAGCATGTCCCGGGGGAAAATCTCTTCGCCGAGCTTGTTACAAAAGGCGACTGAAGGCGAAGAAGCGTGCAACGAAGGGATAGTCAGTTATCAACAAAAACAAAGGCTAATGCAAAATATGCACATTGAAGCATAAAAAAATGCAAAGATTATATCTAAAACACATTAAAGTATATAAGTTTTATATGATTTATACATTTTTATTAAATTTCTGAATAAATATTTCATAAATACTTTATTTTATACAATTGCAGACATTATTCAATAATTGAGAATTTTAATTAATAGATAGATATATATGTATAATAATGATAAATTTCTTATATTCTTTTCTCTTGTAATTTCATTGTAAATTGGAATCTCTCAAAAAACCTTTTATTTTACAAAGCTTGAACTTAGGAAATATAGATAATATTACACGTAATTTAAAGATGGGCTTCAATTGTATCATGAAAAATTCTGATTCGTTCGCACATGAAAGAATCCGCGACGGTGCTTCAAGGAGCAAATCGCGAGATGCAACGATGCGTCGAAAGTAATGGTGTACTTTCTTTCGAAGCACATCGTGTTGTGCACTCGCAATATGTGTTCTTCTTTCTCTCTTTCTCTCTCTCTCTCTCTCTCTCTCTCACACACACACACACACACACACACACACACACACACAATAGAGAGAGAGAGCGCAGATGCCATGCGTGGAAGAGCGATGCTCGGCGCATGCAGTTTCGTTCTACACGAGGGACTCCGTGACTACACGCTTTCCTTCGTAACTAACAGGTGGAAGCCGCTTGGAACGCGCAGCTTTCCTCGAGATTAGCAGGTGGAAGATGCCCGCGGCTGTGTCGCAGATGATTCAGAAACAAGACCAGCGAAAAGAGGCGGGAGGGACAGAAAGGAAAGGGGGCAGATGGACGATACGTGCTTTTGTTCCAACTAGTTCCAGAATTATGGAATGACACTAGAGTCCCGTTGCACGCGAACGAACAACGCGACCATGATATGAAGAAAGAAAAAATCTCGCTACAACGGTTGTCCGAGGTATATTTTCTTTTTTAATAGGTCAGACTGCGTAGAAGAATATGATAAATATCGTATTTGTTAAAGCAGCAAGAAAACTCGCAACTATCAGCTCGGAAAGAAATATTTATCATTAATTACTGGAGAACAATGATTATGGAAGAAAGATAACTGCCTAACTATAATATTTCAGCTTTATATCATGATAAATTGCACGCACGTAAATGAAAATATTAGAACGTTTTCTGTATAATATAGCAGGTATTTTCCCAAGATATAAAATCAATAACAGGAGATAATACTTTTATATATACACATACATGTACATGTCTTCTCTTTAATTAAATTTCCATTAAAATAATAGTCAAACGTTCATATGTTGAAAAGTGGTTCTTTCGTGCAAGCTCCTTTGTAGAAATATTTTGTTCTTGTTTCGTTTTTCGTGCCACTCGACATATCGATCTGGCAAAATTAGACCACGGAATAAAGTACATTCGCTTATCGATGATATTCTTTCTAGTGTAATCGAAAGATTCATTTCTTCAGGTCATAAATTTCTATGCAACGTCGCGAAACAATACAATCGCAAGGAAAAATAACCAAGTTTATTACTTCCAGGCATGTAAATGCATGAGTATTCTGCATGTTTGAGTAGCAAGTATACTGTATTATTGATGGTTTATTGCTCTAATCGACCGACGAACGATGGTACCACGGAACACCAAGTGCATCGGCATACATACGCCGGCCGATCGACGAAAATATGCGGAATAATTTATTCGATACGCGCAATTATTTCTCTATCCTTGAGCGGAATCATCGCGTCGCGTTTATTATTATTTTATGAGGAACTAGAACCGGCGCGCGCGACATCGTTCCAAAGTCACAGAAAGTTTCCGTGTACTTTGTGATGCAAGTCTTCATCAAGTTACATTTACATAAAATTTTAATGAAAAAAAACTATGCGTATACGGAAAATGCAAGAGGCCAGAAGATTATTCTATTCTCATTTATTTTACTTATTATTATTAATATTTTCTCTATTTGAAGAATCTTCAACTTTATTGTGCATATCATAAAATGGATCTTTTCATTTATTAAATAAAAAAATTTAATTAATTAAAATAATATAAATAAATTAAATAAA